AACAATACAAAGAATCAATGAAACAAAGAGTTGGTTCTTTGAAAAAATCAATAAGATAGACAAACCCTTATCCAAACTAACCAAAAACCAGAGAGAGAACATCCCAATTAACAAAATCAGAAATGTAAAGGGAGATATAACAACAGACAATGAGGAAATCCAGAGAATCATCAGGACATCCTTCAAAGGCCTCTACTCCACAAAATTGGAAAAGTTAAAAGAAATGGACAACTTTTTGGATAGGTACCACATACCCAAATTAAATCAAGATGAGATAAACAATTTAAATAGATTTATAACCTCTAAGGAAATAGAAACAGTCATTAAAAAAAGCCCAGGACCAGATGGCTTCAGTGCAGAATTCTACCAGAATTTCAAAGAAGAGCTAATTCCAATACTCTTCAAACTGTTCTGTATAATTGAAACAGAAGGAACATCACCAAACTCTTTTTATGAGGCTACAGTTACTCTGATACCCAAACCACACAAAGATGCAACAAAGAAAGAGAATTACAGACAAATCTCCCTCATGAACATTGATGCAAAAATACTTAATAAAATACTCATAAACTGAATCCAAGAACAAATCAAAAACATCATCCACTATGATCAAATAGGCTTCATCCTAGAGATGTGTGGATGGCTCAACATACAAAAATGTCAATGTAATCCACCATATAAACAAACTGAAAGAAAATAAAAAAACATGATCATCTCATTAGATGCTGAAAAATTCTTCAACAAATTTCAACATCCCTTCATTAAAAAGGTCTCAGAGAGATCAGGAATACAAGGAACATACATAAACATAATAAAAGCAATTTACAACAAGCTAACAGCCAACACCAAATTAAATGGAGAGAAACTCAAAGCAATTCCACAAATACCAGGAACAAGACAAGGCTGTCTACTTTCCCCATATTTATTCAACATAGTACTCAAAGTTCTAGCTAGAGCAATAAGACAGCAAAAGATCAAGGGGATACAAATTGGGAAGGATGAAGTCAAACTTTCCCTAATTGCAGATGATATGATAGTATACACAAGTGACCCCAAAATGTCTACCAGAGAACTCCTACAGCTGATAAACCACTTCAGCAATGTGGCAGGATACAAGATTAACTAAAAACAAAAAACCAAAAAACCAGTAACTCTCTTATATACAAATGATAAATGAGTTGAGAGAGAAATCAGAGAAACATTACCCTTCACAAGAGCCACAAATAATATAAAATATCTTGTGGTAACTCTAACCAAACAAGTGAAAGACCTATATAACAAAAACTTTAAGTCTTTGATGAAAGAAATTAAAGAAGATATCAGAAAATGGAAAGATTTCTCATACTCATGGATAGGTATGATTAACATAGTAAAAATGGCCATCCTACCAAAAGCAATCTACAGATTCAATGCAATTCCCATCAAAATCCAAATACATTTTTTAATAGGCCTTGAAAGTACAATACTCCACTTCATATGGAAAAACAAAAACTCAGGATAATCAAGACAATCCTGTAAAATAAAGCAACCTCTAGAGACATCACCATCACTGACTTCAAGCTTTACTACAGAGTAATAGTAATAAAAACAGCTTGATATTAGCACAAAAACCAACATGTGGACCAATGGCATCAATTTGAAGACCCTGACATTAATCTGCACACCTATTGACACCTAATTTTTGACAAAGAAGCCTAGACAATACAATGGAAATAAAGAAAGTATTTTCAACAAATGGTGCTGGCATAACTGGATGTCAACATGTAGAAGATTGCAAATGGATCCATATCTATCACCACGCATAAAACTCAAGTCCAAGTGGATCAAAGACCTCAACATAAAACCAGATACACTGAACCTGATAGAAGAAAAAGTGGGAAGTATCCTTGAATGCATTGGCACAGGAGACTACTTTATGAATATAACTCTAGTAGCACAGACACTGAGAACAACAATTAATAAATGGGACCTCCTGAAACTGAGAAGCTTTTGTAGGACAAAGGACATGGTCAGTAAGAAAAAAATGACAGCCTACAGAATGGGAAAAGATCTCCACCAACCCCACATCTGACAGAGGGCTGATTTCTAAAATATAAAGAACTCAAGAAACTAGACATCAAAATACCAAACAATCCAATTAAAAAGTGAGCTACAGAGCTAAACAGAGATTTCTCAACAAAAGCATCTCAAATGGCTGAAAGAGATTTATGGAACTGCTCGACATCCTTAGCCATCAGGGAAAATCAAATCAAAACGACTCTGAGATACCATCTTACACCTGTCAGAATGGCTAATATCAAAAACACTGATGACAGCTTATGTTGGAGAGGATGTGGAGCAAGAGGAACACTCCTCCACTGCTGGTGGGAGTGCAAACTTGGGCAGCCACTTTAGAAGTCAGTATGTAGGTTTCTCAGAAAATTGGGAATTACTCTTCTTCAAGACCCAATGACAAACACTCTTGGGCATATATCCCAGGAATGCTCAATCATACAACAAGGACACTTGTTCAGCAATGGTCAAGCAGCATTATTCATAATAGCGAGAACCTGGAAACAACCTAGCTGCCCCTCAACTGGAGAATGGATAAAGAAAATGTGGTACATATACACAATGAGTTCTACTCATAAGTAGTGCTACTTATGTTGTCATAAGTCTATAGCAATAAAAATCAATGACATGCTGAAATCTGTAGGTAAGTGGATGGAACTAGGAAATGTCATCCGGAGTGAGGCTACCTAGACTCAGAAAGACAAACGTGGCTTGTATTCACTCATAAGCGGATACTAGATGTAAAGCAAAGGACAACCAGACTACAACCCACCAGAGGAGCTATATAACAAGGAAGATCCCAAGAGGGACACATGGATGGACCTGGGAAGGGGAAATAGATGAGATCTCCTGAGCAAACTGGGGGTGAGGGAAGGTCAATGGAGGGTAGGGGATGGGGGATGGAAGCATAAGGGAATGGGATGGTTGAGCTAAAATAGGAGTATATTGGGAGAGCAATGAGAGAGATATTTTGATAGAGGGAGAAATCATGAGGGAAAAACTTGGTGTGAAGGAAGTTCCTGGGAATCCACAGGGATGACCTCAGCTTAGACTACTAGCAGTGCTGAAGAGGATGCCTGGGCTGGTGTACCACAGTGATCAGACTGATGAATGCTCTGTCATCATAGAGCCTTCATCCAGTAACTGATGGAAACAGATTCAGAGAGCCACAGCCAAGCACCAGGCCAAGCACCTGAAGTCCAGTCGAAGAGAGGGAAGAGGATTCTGTGAGCAAGGGGCTTCAAGATCATGGTGGGGAAACTTACAGATACAACCGAACCAAGCCAGTGGGAACTCATGAACTTTGGACTGACAGTTGTGGAACCTGCATGGGACTGGACTAGGACCTCTGTATGGGAGAGATAGTTGTGTAGCTTGGTCTGTTTGAGGAGCCCCTGACAGTGGGAATAGAATCTATCCCTGGTGCATGAACTAGCTTTTTGGAGCCCATTGCCTAAGGTGGGACACCTTGCACAGCCTTCATGCATGGGGATGGGTTTGGACCTACCTCAGCTGAATGTGCTATGCTTTGCTTACTCCCTATGGGAGGCCATATCTTTTTGGAGGAGGGGCTGGGGAGTGGGCTGAAGGGAAGGCTGGGGGAGAGGGAGGAGGGAAGAGGGTGGGATCTCTGGTTGGTAGGTGGAATGAATAAAAATTTCTTAATAAAAAAATCAAAAAGAGGCCGGGCGGTGGTGGCACACGCCTTTAATCCCAGCACTGGGAGGCAGAGCCAGGTGGATCTCTGTGAGTTCAAGGCCAGCCTGGGCTACCAAGTGAGTCCCAGGAAAGGTGCAAAGCTACACAGAGAAACCCTGTCTCGAAACGCCCCCCCCAAAAAAAATTAAAAAGAGATCAAATCACACTTTAAAAGAGATGCTAAATAAGCAGAAAGGGGTAATAAAGACTCCCAGAGATAGATTCCATAATACTTTATTGTGGTGATATTTTATTTGTGCTTTAATAAATAAAGCTTGCCTGGAGATCAGAGGAAAGAGGCCAGCTATTATAAGTAAATGAAGAAATCAGGCAGGGGTAGCACTCGCCCTTAATCCTATCACTTGGCAGGCAGGATCTCTGTGTGTTCAATGCCACACTGGAAACAGAGCCAGGTGTGGTGGTGCATGCCTTAAATTCCAAAACTAGTTAACTATGAAGGTGTCAAGGTCTGTACAGACAGACAGGAAGTGACACAGCTGGGTAGGAAAAGGAAGTGATGTAGCTGAATGGAGAGAGCAAATCAGATGGCAGAACAGCAAGGCATATAGATGTGGGTAGACAGGAAGTAACTCGAATTTGGATGCTGCAGAGTTGGTGAGGTAAGGTTAGCTGTGGCTTTCCCTATTTCTCTGATATCTCAGCTATTACCCCAATATCTGGCTCTTAGTTTTTAATTTAATAAGACCATTTAGAAATTCGTCTACTCCTTCTTAACTTTAAATTTTCTAAATGCTAATAATAAAGGAACAACAGCTTCAGAGAGACACTGGACAATAGAGAAAACTGCTGAATTAAATCAGCCTGTGTACTTTAAAGATGTGTTGACCTCAGAAACCAGGATATATATCACATTGGGGAAGGGCTTTTGTTTTTGTTTCCACAGGAGAAGAAAAGCTATGGATACCATCAAAATTAATAAAGATTTAATTTGAATGGGAGAAACCTCTTGATTAGGAGAAGTGATTGTTCATCCACTGATGTGGCTATTCATGTCAAAAGGAAAAACTCAATTAGGGTTGGGGCAGGATTTTGTTTTTATCTTTTTTTTTTTTTTTTTTTTTTTTGTTTTTCGAGACAGGGTTTCTCTGTGTAGTTTTGGCGCCTTTCCTGGAGCTCACTTGGTAGCCCAGGCTGGCCTCGAACTCACAGAGATCCGCCTGCCTCCGCCTCCCGAGTGCTGGGATTAAAGGCGTGCGCCACCAACGCCCGGCTTGTTTTTATCTTTACAGGAGAATAAAAAATTCATCTTAAGGATGTCAAGGATCTTTGGACAGACAGACATCTAAAGAAGAAGGGAGAACTGTCTGGAAAAATTATCAACAAAAGAAACAATCTGGCATGACAGTATAATTACTTCTACAGGGTAAAATCTCTCTACCTCTCAAAATGTTTGTTGTCTTGACTCAATTAAAAACTAAATCTGGCTTTGGAGTTGGATGTAGTTCTCTCTTTCTCTAAACCCAAGCATGTTCTTAAAAGAAAATTCAGAGTCTCTGTCTCATATCAGAAAAGCCACCTAGTGTGGGACAGAAGAAAACCAAAATCTAGGGACTATTGTCATAAGCCTCTTACTCCTCAAATTTATTTTGACTCTTTAGAACTTTTATTAGGTATAACACTGTCTTAAAAGTTAAACTTTCCATTTTGATATTAATGATGTTTAAGTTTTCCACAATGAACAATAAATTTTCCTAAGAGTGATCTCTGAAGTTTCCAAAAGCATGATGAGGCCCCACAACAATGATTCTACCTGGATCCCTATAATACCATTAAGCCAATAAACATCACCTAAAGATTGGTTTTGGACTACAAACTGCTCAAGACAATTCTAAGGTGGCTAGCTGAGATGGTCCACCCTCTTACACACTCCAGCTGAACTTCAAATAAGCTTTACTCATTACTCAGAGACTGGCTACAAATATTGCAACTAGTTCTACCAAGACTTAACCATTGTTACAGTCCTTACTACGTCCCATAGACACTGTTGCCCCACCCTCCCCAGACAGCAGAAAGTAATTCTAAGAACACAATGCCCACATTCCCTATATGTGGGGTGTTTTTTTTTATTAGGTTTATAGATAATTGTCATTTGTAGGGGTTGGTAACAAGTTATTATAGAGTTGGGGGTGGAACAATAGAGATTAAACTCAGGGATCTCCTTTGTAATATAAAAAAGGAGGATAGACATGATAGGATTAAAAGGCAGACTATCAGTTTTAAATAATTTACATTGGTATGGATTCTTATATATTGATACAAATTTAGTTATTTTTGTTATACTGTATATATGTTTCTATTTCTAAGATACTTTTGTATATTGATACAAATTCAAAATTATTTTTGTATTATACATATGTTCATTGTTCTATTTAAGATATTTTTGTATATTGGTAAAAATTTTAAATTATTTTGTCATATTGTATATATGTTTCTACTTCCATTTAGGGTATATTTGTATATTAATGCAAATTAAGGTTATTTTTGTCATATTGCATTTTACATTTCTACGTCTGGCTATTTTTGCATATTGTCACAATTGTGAGGTTGCTGTCCTTATACTGTACATCTGTTTCTATTTTTACACAAGGTATTATTTCTACAGCTCATTTTTTTTAATAATGTGAAGCTTTATTCCCTAGTGTATACAGGTAAATAAGATTTACAAGTTAATAGTCACCCATATTTGTCAAACTTATAGTCATGTTAGTAGGTTTTCTAAGCATGCAGAGATATGTTCTAAATAGATAGGTGATCTTCAAAAACTTCAAAGACCTACAGAATATGACATTTAAAATGTTTTAATAACTTAGAATTCTTTTGACATGAGGAAAGTCTGCTCCTGGCAGCACTAATCTACTCCTGAGTGAATGTTGGGCACCAAAGACACTCCATATGAAGTTTGTCTTTTATCTGGCAAAACTTACCTATTAGGCAAGAAACTGCCCTTGCCTCAATTGTTGACAGTAAGAACACTGTCAAATCTGGACAAGCAGGACACACCAAAAAGTGACTGCCAAACTTTGCCAAGACAGGGCAAGACAGTCCTTCAAAATTTCCTACTTCTAAAAAAGATCTGTCAGAGATACTAGGTCTATAAGCCAAAGTTGGGTGCTCCAACACTGCAGAGAAACCTTGGGTGACTGTCCAGGCAGCCAGCTGTGTCTGTCATTCCTTGGATTTTTTTGGAAATCTCTTCCTTGCACTTCCTGCTTACTCAGGTAATGGTATTTTCCTTCTCAAGTCTTTGATGGGATTGAAGATTAGATAGTTACAATTACAAACCTCATGAATCTTAGCTAAGGATATAATAGGTACAGAACTTTGATTCTTCAGGAAAGGACAGCTATTGGAGTACTCTATAAAAAATTGCCTACTACCTGTGGTCTGAACATTTAGGATGTATTGTTCTTGTTGTATGTAGTTTCATTTCTTGTTAAGATTATTACCTTTTTCCTTTCTCTGGACAATATTTGATAATTGTTCTTATCATATATAGTTTTTATTATAAGGATTAGAACCTTCCTTTTCATTTTAGACAAAAAGCGGGAAATGTTGTGGGAATTCTGCCATTTGGTCTAATGAACAATGGAATGGAGTGGGTTGGCCAGATGGGCTTGGTCTTCTCTGAAGATATGTGGCCCTTTAAGAATTGGTGGGGGAGGGGCATGCTCCCCCTGGGACTGTGGAAGGCTTCCTGACACCATGGGTCATCCGGACCTTCCCCATCTCTCTCTGGTGGACAAAGAGGCAGCGGTGCTGCTTCATCCTGTATTTGTGAGTGTGTTGTATTGATTTTATCCTTTAATAAATCTGTCCTGATCCAAAACTTCCATAACCTGCTGCAATAAACACATATTTGTAACTTTAATGATTCAAATGTATTTTTTTGCTTTATTTTCTCAATATAAATTTTATATTTCATGAACTATTTCAAAGTCTCTACAAACTATAACATAAACAGAACTTGATTTTTTCACTTATTTTGTGTCTTAATGTTTCTTCTATTTTCTCTCCACAAATTCTTTTATCACTTCCCCCAAATTTATTCTTAATACACTTTATGGTTTGAAATTTATTAGGAAAAATGTCATTATTAGAAATATTGTCTTATTCAGAGCTTTGTCTTAAAATTTCTCATCCCTCCTGGTTCTTACTGGAATATGTCATTTATAAGAATAAAATGGTATATTTAGAATTTATAGAGTGCTCCTTAGAAGAGGTCTTTGCTTCCAAAAGACACATTTATTTAATCCTGGATAAAAACATGGTTGAAGTGTTACTTTTAATACTGAGATTAGAGAATTGGTAACTATCCAAAAATGAAGAAAAGGGCTGCCTACTAACTCTCTAAACCTTATTCACAGGGGATCTTCTTTAAAAGTCTTCCCAAGTCTGCTTATTCTGCAAAATTGGAAATTGCAAGGAATATGAATTTATTCCTGAGTGCTGTGACAACTGATTTTAAGATTCAGTGAGTTTGGGTTAAGGGATACCCAGGTAGTTTTTGGATGTATCTCATTATGTTTATTGAAGAAATTAATATTTTAATTGACAGGATCAGTAAAGATCACTTTATTCAATGTGGGAGGGTCATCACATGACTCTGTGAGGTCACAAATGTTACAAAAGTATGGAGGAAGGATCACCGTGCTCTACTTGAGCTGAAATATGTATCTGCTTCCATGATCAGATATTGATGCTCCTGGTTTTTAAGCTTTTATACCAAGACTTGTAAATATGACTGCTCTGGATCTCAGGCCTTGAGTTTGAATGGGAAACATGGCCTTTGTGGGCCTCCACTATGTAAGACCACAGATCACTTATGTAACTTCCATATACATAGAAGCAAAATTTAATATTCTCACTTTAAATCTATGGTATTTCTTCTGTATCTCTTGAGAACCCTTGATAATATTAGTTGTGAGAATTTTGTCTGTGCTTTTAAGAGTGACTCAGTCTATCACAAATGACATTAACAATATATCTGACTGTACAATATATAGCCATTGAGGAGATTAATAGTATAAATACTTCAATATCTTACTCTATAATATGCACATTTCATAAATAATGTGTTATTTACACTAGAGACCCAGGTCATGGGCATGAGGAAAATAGAAACAAGTACCACACTTAGTGTGTGATAGAACATAGAACATTGCTTGTGGAACAGTGGGAAAGTACAAGCAATATCTTTGGAACACCATGAGAAATTGTTGTACTGTTTTATAGGCACTGATGATAAATAATAAGAACTAGAAAGATATATCTTTTGTATGTATAAAATTATTACACAATATTTTGGTTTATGTATGATAATTTTGATACACTATTATTTAAGGTTTTGTCTTGATTAACTGAATTATAGCTTTCATCTTGATAAAGTTCCAATTAAATGTATTATTTTGAGTATATGTCATGTTGAGTATAAAACATGAATTATTACATTACTAACAAAATGATTTATTTAGTACCTCTATGAACCAGGCACTGGATCAAGTCCTAAATTTTAAAAAATCTGCTAACATCTTTCAGATTATATGTACTTTTTTTTGACATGGCACAGCTTTCTTTCTTTTTTTGTTTTAAATAAATTCATTTGTTTTAAATCTCGTCTGCTGTTTTCCCTCTCTCCCCTCCTTCCAGTTGCTCTTCTCCAACTCCCCTCTGCTTCCACCCGCCCAGTCCACCCCCCTCTGTTTCTGTTCAGGAAAGGGCACGTTGATTCCTATGGGTATCAACAAAACATGGCATATCAAGTTGCAGTAAGACTAAGCACCTCCCAAGTATTAAGGCTGGGCAAGGTGACCCAGTATGAGGGGTAGAGCCCCAAAAGCCAGTGAGAGAATCAGAGATAGCTTCTGCTCTCACTGTTAGGGGTCCCATAAGAGGATGAAGGTACACAACTGTAACATATATGCAGAGTGCTTAGGTCAGTCCCATGTAGGCTCCCTGGTTGTATTTTTGGACTTTGAAAGCCCCTATGAGCCCAGGTTAGTTGATTCTGTGGGTTTTCTTATGGTGTCCTTGACCTCTCTGACTCTTACAATCATTTATCCCATTCTTCTGCAGGGTTCCCCAAACTCTACCTAATGTTTAGCTGTGGGTCTGCATCTGTTTTCATCCTTGCTGGTTGAAGACTCTCTGATGACAATTAGGCTAGTCACCAATCTAGTCACAGGAGATGGCCAGTTTAGGCGACATACATGCTTTTGCTAGGAGTCTTAGTTGGGGTCATCCCTGTAGATTTCTGAGGGATTCCCTTGTGCCAGGTTTTTACTTGACTTCAAAATGTACCCCCTTTACAGTAGTCTCTTTCAGTACTCTCCCTGTCCATCCCCCCTGGAACCTGATCACTCATGTTGCCATCCCACCCTCCCTCTTTCCACTCATGAAATCTCTTCTATTTCCCTTTCCCAGGGAGATCTAGGTGTCCCTCCATGAACCTTCCTTGATACCTACTCTCTCTGGGTCTGTGGATTGTAGCATGGTTATCCTTTATTTTACAGCTAATATCCACTTATGAGAGAGTACATACCATGTTTGTGTTTCTCTCTCTGGTTTATTTCACTGAGGATGGTCCATCCATTTGCCTTCAAATTTCCTACTGTCCTTGTTTTTAACAGCTGAGTAATATTCCACTGGGTAAATGTACCACATTTTCTTTATCCATTCCTCAGCTGAGGGACATCTAGGTTGTTTCCAGGTTCTGGCTATTACAGATAATGCTGCTATGAACATAGTTGAGTAAGTGTTTTTGTGGTATGATTGAAATGTCTTTTGGGTATATGCCCAGGAGTGGTATAGCTGGGTCTTGTGGTAGGTTGATTCCCAATTTTCTGAGAAACCTCCATACTGATTTCCAAAGTGGCTGCACAAGTTTGTACTCCCACCAGCAATGGAGGAGTGTTCCCCTTGCTCCATATTCTCTCCAGCAGGAGCTGTCACTTGTGTTTTTCATCTTAGCCATTTTGACAGGTGTAAGGTGGAATTTCAGAGTCATTTTGATTTGCATTTTCCTGATGGCTAAGGATGTTGAACATCTCCTTTAGTGATTCTCAGCCATTTGAGATTATTCTGTTGAGAACTCTCTGTTTAGATCTGTACCTCATTTTTAATTGGATTATTTGGTTTGTTGATATCTAGTTTCTTGAGTTATTTATATATATTTTGGAAATCAGCCCTCTGTTGGATGTGGGCTGTGGTTTATGACACAGCTTTCTAATTGCACAAAATTATAGT